CTTCCCTCTAGCCTTACACTGCTAAATTAGGGACGGCTAGCGCAGATAGCCCTCGTGTAGCTTTGCACGAAATTCTAAGCAAACACAAGCCTCTGCTGAAAGTTTTATAACAACGAAGCAGATTATATTTTGGATATGACTCCTGCAATTCTGCATACAAAAAATGGAAGTTACCGATTTTGCATTTTAAAATTCAACTTGTTGTTCGTAGTCATAAAAAAAAAATTGCATCAACGTTGTTTCTAAGACTTTCTAATTTTTTAATATATCTCTTCATGAGAAATTCTCGTTTACATATTTTTAAATATTTATCTTTGTTGTGACTAAATGGACAGTGTTGTATGTTTGTGGTTAGGCTCAGTAGCTATAAGATATAAAATAATACTTTAATGTTAAATAATTAGTATAGTAAGTGTTCAGTTTTCTAAATAATAAATAATAAATGCTTCCATCAACCGTAAAGGTTCATGATCTGTAGTGAACCCTGTGGTATTCTTTCGAACGATACACGATTTACTCGCCTGATGGTGCATGAATAAATTAGTTATTTAGTTTTATGAATACTGGTATAAGACAGAGTTGTTGTGCATGAATGGCAATTGAAAATGTGATTCCTCGGACGGCAGACCTTAAAACAAGCTAACTAAATAATAAATACAACATATTTTTACCTTTTCTCTTAAGAGAAACATTTTGACAAGAGCATTTAGACGGACAGAAATTTTATCAGAAACTTGGCAGGCCAATATTTCTGTGTATGAGCACAACGCCAACTTATGCGTTTCCTTATAGTGGGAATGAATTGATGGAATGAACTATCAGTCTGTCTGTCAGACGTTTTATCGGTAAGTAGGTTGGTGTGGTAAACTCTCTGCATCCCCTTTTCTCATATGTTTACTGTAATTATTATTATTATGGAACACAGTGGTTTAATATCTATAAAAAAAACTATTTCGCAATAAGACATTTATTTATCGATGGTTTTAGTGGCTTCTTCAGTAATACAAATATATATATTCTGGAAATTGGAATAATACCCATCTAATAGGATATAAACCATACTTGTATAAATAAATATATAAGAAGCCTTCTTCATCTATCTAACTGTTAATACACTCAGTAAACCTAGCATATTAGTCAGCAAATCCTGGATATCCCCCTTTAAAATATCCAAATTTAATTCAACTCCTAACGGGGAATATCCCAGACAAATGGATAGCCCTACCCCAGGACGTTCCCGAAATTATAAACAACCGAAACTTAAGCTAAAATGTTATTAGTATCTAGTAATAACAATCATTTATTAGCTAAAAAATTGACTTAGATGATCATGTAAGTTAGTAAACATGATAATGATTGTTATATCCTTACCACAAGTACTTTACTTTGATTTGTATTCTCATGTTTGTTCCTATAGAAAACATATTTACTGACAAATATTGAATTTGATTGTGTATAAATAACACATTTAAAAGATACAGAGAAAAGAACCCTGATCGACAATAGGTTAACCTTCTTTGAAACGCTAACTATTAAAACCCGAGTATGTATTGTTGTTTAGGATATTACTTGACGTTCTGAAAAAGGATTTTGATCGAACGAAATGTGCCTTTTTTATAGTAAACAGTTTCTTTACGATTTTCTAGGTGACTAGTTACTATATTGGTACGAATTCAACGAAAACCCTTTGCGTGCCATCTTCGTTTGCGTGTTCATCAAATAACTGTATATATCTGTGGTTTCTGTTCCAATGTTGCATAGAAGGGTACTTATCTTATAAAATAAATAACATAGGTTGTGTGTTTTATTTTAAACTTTTTACTTTTGTGAGATTATGATTGATATGACATTTCAAATTACAACTAGAAATGTTCTACTTCCTTTAGATAAAATGATACATTCGTATATATATATATCTATTATTAGCAATAAGGCTAAGTAAAACTTGGTCAGCCAAAAAGAGTGTAAAATAACAAAGTAACCACATTGTTTAGTGTCATGTTTTCAATATACATGTATATTATAGCATCAAAAGGAGAATAATACTAAATAGAAGGCTTAATTTCATAAACAAGTCTTTCACCTATTAATAAATATATTGTCATCGTCTAAATTTGAAAGTAAAATTGTTCAGTACAGCAGAATATTGTAGTTTCTGAACATTCGTGTTAATTCAGCGTATTTAGCTATGAGAAAAAAAAAAGATTTTAGAAAGTGGCTATAATTTTTGTGTATCTTTAATTTACTGCTATACTTAGTTAGTAAAGTCATCTTTTTGTCCTCAGCTTGATGTAAAAATTAAAAAAATTCCATTTCTAATTTAGATACTTAGGAAAATTTTTTTATACAAGTCATCCGAAACTCATTATGTGTTTTCAGTATTTTTTTAGTTTAGGTGGAACTTTGATTAGTATAAAATAATTCAAAAATTATGAGAATGCAATATTTAATAATTCACAATGAAATAGGTATAAACGCATTTAAGATTTGCAAAAGCAAGAAAAATGTCTATTATTTAGACATAAAAATACAGTTTTAGTACTCACAATATATTTACTCCATTGCTTACAACGCATTTATTATTTTTCAAACTATTTCTATTAATATACTATTACTATTTCAAAACATTAGTACAATGTTCTGCCATCTATAGACAATATTTCGCACTACGTATTGAACTAAACAAATACATTTATGAGAAAGCTGCAAACAGTTTTTTTTAAAGAGGTAGGTATTAATCAGGAGTTTACAGGCTATTATAGTGAAGATATTCAATAAGATTTCAAATTAAATAATAATTTTACAAAACAAAAACAACATATATCTTTTACACACAATGTTAGTCTGTATAAGAAATTTATGAGCTTTTTTTTCTGGTGGTTATAATTTTTAAATAGACATCAGGGACCTGAGCGGAGAGAACAAAAGTAGAGTGACTACAACACCCATGATTTAATGAAGATCATAAGGTGTTGTCCTGTAGTAATACGGATTCACATTTCAGGAAAAAATCGAGGGGTTATTTTACACGCGCAGTGATTAGGAACAGCCACGGGTCCCCATTGAGCTCTTTTTTCTGGAGAATCTTGACGTCGATGATACATGTACACCCAACCAAGCCTTTCAGTACATTCACTCTCGTACCTAAAGAAACGCAAACAACAAGAAAGAATAAATAGTGTCGTATTGAATATAAAATGTATATGCTAATTTAAAAGTGTTTATACACATAAATAAAAACTCTATATACTTAAGGTTGAATATGTGTGTTTATAAATGCTGTAATACATCAAAATCAAGTAATAACGGAAGCACAAATTACAAAAACGATGTTATATACTCAAAAGTAATGAATCCCAGTGTAACAGTTACTGATCTTGCAACAGGTAAGTTTAAAAACACAAGACTCGAAAATATCTTTACCGTAATGAACTTTATGATAAGAGAGAATTCTAAAAGTGCTTTATTATTTATATTGATAAGATAATAATTATATTTTTATATACAAATTTTTTAAAATATCATACAAATGTTCATAAAATTTTTAAAACATTGTAATAACATTGCATACGAGATGGCGCCACTTACAGAGGCGATATTCCACGACAAGGTCCATGTACTGTCGTGCACGTGAAGGAAAAAACATATTGACCAAGGTCTTCTTGTTGAATTACCTCCACAGGCTTGTTATAAAGGTCAGTGGTAATGTTAACTTGTAACCAGTTGGTCTCCGTACTGCAGATTTCCTCAGAGGGATAAGTGGACCCCCTTTTCATCTTTCTGTTCCCCGAGTTTCCCATTTCCGAGCGATCAAACTAAGGAAAGTATTATCAACTTCAGATCAGAGCAAACTATCTTCTTAGAACGAAACTAAAAATCAGCCTGGTAATGAGTATAGCTACTTAAATGTAATTTTCTTAAGTTCTTACTTAAACAATAGAATGCATTGTTTCATCAGTTGGGTTCCCTAGTTGTTAATATCTTCGCCCGTAAACTTAAAACGTTAAAGTTTAAAGTTTTTATTTTCTTGTGCTACTTGTCTTTTTAAAAGCGAAAAATACTACTACTTAATTTATTTATAACAGTTTTAATCCCAATAAAACGGGAATTATCGTCATTAACTTTGATAGGGGGTCGTGACCGGCTCATGTTGTAAACGAAGGTGATGTCACTTTGTTAAAATTAGTTGCCTAAATTATAAATACAGTCGGCATGTTTTTTTGTTTTTTTTTCTTTGCTACGTTGTTACACGTAAAATATGTTGTAAGATGTGAAGTTGTAACTCTAGGCAAACTTGACATCTGAGGTTGGTTTAATTATTGCACCTTAAAAAATACTTTGTGAGCTATGTGCTAACATAATAAACAACTCACGGTAATAGTTTCCTATACTTTTAAATAAACTTTAAAATAACAATGTAAACAGGAGCTCAGCTACTTCACATGGACGTACAGATGACAATGTAAACAGGAAATCAGCTACTTCACATGGACGTACAGATGACAATGTAAACAGGAAATCAGCTACCTCATATCCACTCATAGATAGTAATGTAAACAGGAGCTCAGCTACCTCACATCGACTCACAGATAACAATGTAAACAGGAGATCAGCTATCTTACATCGACTCCCAGATAACAATGTACACAAGAGCTCAGCTACTTCATATAGACTGACAAATGGCAATGTAAACAGTAGATCAGCTACCTCACATCAACTCACAGATAACAATGTAACAGGACATCAGCTACCTCATATAAACTGACGGATAACAACGTAAACAGGAGATCAGCTACCTAACATCAACGTACATATAACAATGTAAACAGGAGCTCAGCTACCTCACAGTTATATGAGTTATAGTCGTCGTAATTACCCCATTTTCAATGTGTCTAAAATGGCTGATGTTGGGAATAAACGTCGGTTTCTGCTTGCCCACCCACAGTCTGCTCTGAAGAAGTGCTGGATGTTCAGCTATGTGTTCGTGAAGATCATCCAAACGTTCCTTCAATAGCGCCACTTGTGTTGAAGTTAACTGACTGGTTGGGTGCCGTTGAAGGTCATTGAGGAGGTTGTCTGTATAGGCTATAAATGAAGCATGTCAGTCTTATTGAAAGAAGAAAAGCAAATATAAAGATGATTTATATTTTAAACGGCAATACATACAGACCTTTCCACACTATACATGTATATCATTTTCCTCTAAGTGATTCGTTTAGACCATTAAGATTATTTGATATAAGGTACACACACATTCGTGAAAGGACAAAATTGAATTAGTTCAAACTTCAGGTTACCAACTTGTCTTTGTACATCTCATTACACGTAGGGATCCACGTACTGCTTCATATTGAGTAATTTTATGTTATTGCCAATTACAAAACTTATCGTGAAAAACAAACCAAAATAACTAGATGAATTCAGTAATTTTATATGTAAAATACACGGGAACCCCAAGCAATAATTAATAGGTGTAATTGGAATATTGACGATAGATGTGTCGAAACTATTGTTGTGTTACTCATGTGTTATTAAGGACCCTATCAACAACAAGCATTTTGGTACATATATAGCTTAGAAGTCGATGGGTTTTATATGGATTTATCGGAAATTCTTATGTTAATTTACTTGCAATGCCCCATTACTGAATGCTCTTAATGTCGTATAAGTCTTCCAAACCATGTTTATTTTTTCAATGACAAATAAAATAGTTTTTAATCTGATTTTGAAAGATTCATTTAATTAAAACCACAAAAACAGTCATTGTAACAACTAAATTGCGAGGTTTTACTCTTTTGTCGTTAGTATTTGGAAATGTACTTTTACTCCATAGTTTAATACAGTAATTCACACTTGTACGCATCTATGTCTATTCCATTTTTTAATTTTTCGCATAATTTTTGACGAAACGACTTAAAATTTTAAAGTAGGTTTTTGAACTACACAAAATACAACAGAAAGAAAAAACTGTAAGGAGTCAATAGAATGTTTCAAAAATAGAGAATCAAGAGGTTTTGGTGTATGTGTGAGAGAAGGAGAGGCCTGAGGATTGGCTGTATGAATTCATTTAAAAGTTTGTAAACGACCGTTGAAAACAAGAGCGCGAACGTCGATGTTGTTTCCTGTGCATTTTCACTGAAAACGGCAATTCACTAGAAGTAAACTATTTTACATTTATTACGTCTTGATTAGAGACTAGTTGTTTCACCATTCTTCACTATACTGAGAGATCAACTCCGTTGTGAACTGGATATTTCATAACGTATTCCATTGAAACATTTCACGTGCAAAAAAAAAATAAATTAACTACAATTATAAGCAATTTCCACAAGTTGCGAGAGAGCGAGTCATTCAGATTAAAGTAAAGTGAGCATATGGTAAAGTTCAAACGATTATTTGAACTGCAAGCTGTAATTACATGACCAGAGTAAATAGGTCCTCGCTGCATAATACTCAGATTATGCTATTTAAGCCTAATTTTATATACATTTTTCACACATAAAGTTCTTACCTTGAATGATCAATCTTAACACTCTATTTTCAGGGTTATCGTTCATTAAACTGACATTTGTCCTCCTCTGAACAGCCACTGGAAGAAAAATAGAGGAAATATCTCAGTAGTCGACAAAATGATATAGAAATCTATTACTTCGTCAAGTTCTCAGAAATATTTTGTTGTATTTCAGAATTTGTAGAATAAACTGGATGGATGTAGACATTTTGGCAGTAAAGTTAGGATAAAACGACATTTATTCCTAAGGTAATAATGAAAATAATGTTTCGTCATTGCGGCTTCATCAGGGGTATTATTATTATTATTAGTAGTAGTTTTTGTGCTACCAATTCTGATGAAGCCTGCAATGACGAAACGTTGGCTGTAATAAAATGTTTTTGTTTTTATCTAGAGAGTAAAGAGCTTTTATTTTCTAATATTATTGCCAAAATGTTCTCAGAAATAATTTTATTATTGATATTTTGTCACAGGGTATGCTTCTAAGTTATCAGAAGAACGAATTTCCTGGAGAAGATATGAAACTTTCTTGGAAGTGTTAATATCTTAAGATAAAGTGTCAGGAAATAAGTGATCAAATTGAAATTCTCTCCTTTATTTGAATCGTTCACTTATTTAGCACCCAAAATATTATGCGGATAAATGGCGTTCATGAGTTCAGTCTTATATCAGAATTTTTGTTTGTTTGTTTTGAATTTCGCGCAAAGCTACACGAGGGCCACCTGCGTTAGCCGTCCCTAATTTAGTAGTGAAATACTAGAGGGAAGGCAGCTAGTCATCACCACCCACCGCCAACTCTTGGGATACACTTTTACCAACGATAGTGGGATTGACCGTCTCATTATAACGCCCCCACGGCTGAAAGGGCGAGCATATTTGGTGGGATGGGGATTCGAACCCGTGACCATCAAATTGTGAGTCGAGAACCCTAACCACCTGGCCATGCCGGGCCGTTATATCAGAAACTCGTTAGCGCAGACAAAGTTACTTTGCAATTTGGTGATTTAGATTTTTAAGATAATCTTATAGACACGGATTTCACCGTAATGTTTTCCTGGTTTACGACACAACTTTACTGATGACAGAAGTTAAAGTTAACATAGAAGTATGCTGTATAGAAGAATATTATCGAATTAAGACTTGAGCTTAATTTATAATCACTGTTTTATTTCACTCATCTCGAAAGGAAAAATTGTTCAGTGCTCAGAATTACGAGCTTACTTATAGACTGCTATTTAAAGCTGGTGCATGAACTTCAGGCATTTCAGTATAAACGTGATAAGTACTAGATTTACTGTTACAATGATCGTTTTCATAAAACAATGAACTTCATTGCTAAAATAAAAATGCCCGTTTCTGTCTGTTTATATTGATATGCTTGCCGCTAGATGTAGCATTGTATCGATAAGTATTTTGTGCAATAACGATTTACTGCACAAAATACCTTTAATTATTACTCCAAGTGGCCCAAATATAATGTTTGAAATGTATATATATATATATATTTATATATATATTTAAGAGTGATTATTGCGCAAAACGAATGATACTTTAAGATAATCCACATTAACAAAACAAGCACACATCACTATGAGGATAGTTAAGTTTTATGTTTAGTTTAGTCCCATGAATGGCTTATTAACCTAAGTATATGATGTGCTTAATAGATTAATATTTTGTTTAATTATAAAGTAAACCAAAGAAAGAAAGAAGCAACACCTAAACGGATTGATGATGAAATGCAGTTTTACCGTTTACAAAACTCAGTAATGGTAGCCTACATAGAACAAAGTATTGGTATAAGATTTGCTTGCATGACTGAAGGTGAATAGCATTTAGTCCTACTTTCAATTCGCTACTGCAATGTTTCTGTGATTTTCTATTATTACAATAAATTTTAACAAAAGATATCACATCATTGTAATACTCATTACATCACTGCAGTACACTTAAAACCATGGCATTATTCCCTTCATCTTCAGTATTCATCAAACCACTGCAGTGTTAAAAAAAACTGCAATGATCATAACACCATGCCAATTATCATAGCCCTGCAATAGTTACCACACCGCTGCGATAATAATCACACAATAGCAATACTCATAACACTGCAACATTAATCACAGCACTGCATTACTTTTCATATTTCTGCAGTATTCATTACTGTACTGAAATATTCCTCATATTACTGCCATATTCATCCCACCATTGCAGAACAAGTCATATTACTACCATATTCGTCGCCCCCATTGCAGTACTCGTCAAATTACTGCCATATTCATCCCACCATTGCAGTACTCGTCAAATTGCTGCCATATTCACCACACCATCACATCCCTACAATACTTATAACATGACTTTAAGTGTACATCACATTTATTCAATACTTATCACACTACTGCACGAGAGATTGAAACCTTGGATATTTAATGATATTATCTTCTTAGAAATATGATACATTTACCACTGCATAGATGGGGGGGATCCCATTTCTTTCTAAGGATCCCTCATTCCATCTACATATTGGTATGATAACATTGTAACATTGTGCTTATTATAATTTGTGTATTATATTATGATATTCATTGAGCATATATCTTCATCTCCTCCATATTACTTAACAGTTAAATATATTGATTTCATGATGTACAATAGTCCGTTTTTCTGCCATATCTGCATAATCCCAGTACTGTTCTAGAGATCAAAAGTAAATTCATCTGAATGTAGACGTCCCTGAAGTCTGCTTTGTAGTCACTGTGTGAAACGTTGGTAATTTTCAATAAAATATACATTCAACACGATGTTCACCACGTAATAAGGCCTTTATTAAACCATTCAAAACTCATCGTCCGTTTGAATACGAACACAAGTGATTTGAAAAAAAAACAACAGACAATTTGTATGGGTTCGAAATGATAATAACACTAATGAATTTGTATAAAACACATTACTCGGACATAATTATATTTTAGGAAACAGTGCAAACAAAAATGTGAAGAGAAGAAAAGGTAACACACACACATTTTTGTAAAACAAGCCTTAAAACCTAAGGTATCAAGACATGAAAAAATATCGGTTTAATAAAGAAATGTGTCCCGATTTAATAAGAAATGTGGTATTTAATGGGGAGAAAGCAAAATATCAGACATTTCTTCATTTATGACATGAGGTGTTAAGGGCTACTGTAGTCAATGTATTGTAGGCAGACGGAGATTACATATAGGAAGACAGTTATGATTGATGCCATTTTCTAGATAACGATCTTTAATCTTGACGTGTAATCCTCCTCTATCGCTCATCAGCTGTAATTTACAACTTTTATCTTTACAGAAGGCAAATGTTTTCGTTTTCAAACTCTTCTTTACAAAGCATCCTGTATCCACTGACAACAGAAACAAGCTGGGTTGCTAACGAGGATATATACTTTGTGTGCGTGGATACTTCTCCTCTTAAACATATCTTGTGTCTCCTAACAACAAAAATAAAATTCAGTCTGTAGTAGGTGCAAATTTGTTTTGTGTTCTTTGATAATCCCCCGTTCATTCATATTTTATGTTTCTGGAGAACAGAAATAAAGTTCGGTCTATAATGGGTATAAATTATTTTGCGTGCGTGGGTATTCCTCCCCTTAATCTTATTTTCCCCTGTATAAAACATAATTTCTTATGTGGATTTCTTAATCTTTGTCATTAGTTTATTGAGTGCGTACTTTCGTTTTGAAACATTAAGTCCAAGTACCCAATTAAGCATAGCAGTTGATAGCTTAGAATGATGCATTTATTCTATTTTGATCACCTTGTATTTGTAAATGGCTTTAATTAAGCACCGTAGTTGATTATTCATTGTTTGGCTCTAAGATGGATAGCAGTTTGGGTTGTTGAAATACTGACTGTTGCTTATAGGTCTTCTGTAATTTCCATGAGGTGATAACGTCCCTTTTTGATCACCAATGTATTAAATAAAGCATGGCCGTTCAACTGGCTACTAAATTTCATCCGGGTACAGGAAGGTTCTTTAGTTAAAACTAAAATTTAACTATGGAACTAAAAAAAGAAGAAAAAACATTAGTTCATATTTTAAGGAGACAAAGTATTATCCACATATTACTCAGATTAATTATCACAAAGTACGGTGGACAGATGTTAATGTTTCGGCATTCGAACAGAATTATTGAATCTACGATATTAATTAGTATTATGTCCTACCACTGATGTGAAGCTGGACAGCCCGATATTAAAGAATGATAATTATCCGTTGTCTATTTACAACGGACAAATTTAAGATAAATTTAACTGAAACCACTGTTTATTAATTTATTTATTGACTATGCATTTAGATTAGAATATCTGGAATTACAGACTAAAATTATTCACCAAAAATAAGGGTTTATTTTGAAATAATATTAATTAGCAAATGTTTTAGTACAAAAAAGGAGAATAACTTAGTTTGAGATTGTTCAGAAGGGTTTTTAAGGAGAATAACTTAGTTTGAGATTGTTCAGAAGGGTTTTTAAGGGGAATAACTTAGTTTGAGATTGTTCAGAAGAGTTTTTAAAGAAGAATCTAGTATAGAGAAAACTATAGATTATCGAGTAATTCATTTTACTAAGATTTATTTTTGAAATTCAAGTATCCTAGGGGAAAATAAATTCATCGAGTAATTCATTTTAGAATTTACTTTTGTAAAGGATATACTCTAAGGGGAAAATAAATTTTGTCAAAAATATTTAAAGTAGAAGAATGTGAAATCAGAAAAAGTTTGATTAGAGAAATCAGAGTTCTGTTTGATTTATGCTATCTAATACATGAATATATTTTCCTAAAATTTTAACTGAGGCCTTTTCATAAGAAAAAAAACGTCTAATGTTATTTTCCTGGAATGCTAAAACAAAGCGATATTCGTACTACACTTAATGTTCATATAAAACTATCAGCGTTTTTTACTCAAAATATATAATTGTACTAGTTAATTGGTAATGATGGATTATTCTGGTTCTCGAGTCTATTTTTACAAACGTTTACAGCGTTTGAATTACAACAATTTCGCCCATTAGACGTGAATACCCAATTATCTCGCTT